GAGGACAACACATTTTTTTTCCTATCTATGCTGATTGCCTTAAGAAGCTATATCAGCTTCGCCCTAACATGTAGGTAAGTTCACGGGGCTCAAACCTGACGACGTTGCTAACACTAACCCTAGCAAGAGCCGTGCTTCGCAGAATCTACCACCGGATCGGAAACGCGACCCACTAAGACGATCCGGCGAGAAACTCAGTGGGCCAGCACTTGGAATATTGTGCGATAGGGAGTTTTGGAACTTTAAGCTGCAACACGCCTCGGGTACCGTTTCCAAAGCGTACTGTTACGAGGATTTATCAGAAAATCCTTTTAAAAAACTAAGTTTATTTAATTGTAATAATTAAAATATTTGAAATTAACAATTGAAATTAATTGGGGCAAGTGTCACCGGAAGCGCGGTTAGAATGGAACTGCGAGATCTATCGGCAACCTAACTAAGCTGCATTACGTCATACACCTTACATTGCATTTTTAGGTACATTAAATATATATAACAGTACGCAGAGGTCCCGATAGCTACCTTCTCACCCCAAAAAAACCCATTCAATCTAGAATCGGCCCTGGTTTTCCCATGATGATTTTTTGAGTTGCAAATCTGTTTACTTTCAATTTTTATTTACAAAAAAAAACAATATACGTCTTAGTCATGAGCCATAGACGGTAATACTTTTAAAGTAAGTTCAATTCTCCGCCTACGTTCGCTTATGTAATGTTAAACATATAAATCTCACGATTTTGGCTTCTGGACTTCTAATTGAAAGTAATTAGGTAAGTATAATGTTCCAACCTACAGAGTTACTGTTTTTAGAATCAAAAAGTTTGAATTTTGTGTATCCTCCGTACTAACGATTACCATTTTTAGCGTACATACGGCGTATTGTGTGCCCACACAGATATGCATCACCGCTCCGCCATTTTTGCCATGAAGCTTAGAGACAGCAGTTCAGAGACAGAGATGAGGGCAACCTCACGACCTCAACATAAAATCGAATCGTTATTTGAAAACTAACAAAATCAATAATGGTATCAAATTGGAGCTCCAAAAACATGCCTTGAACAAACTTCACAACCATCATTACTTCCTTCATTAAAAGTCCCTTAATTAAAAGTATCACAAAGCAATTAGTCCTGTTCGAGTCTAGTTTAATTCGTTATCCTAATACGTTTTCCGTCTGATGATATCCAGAATAAATTTAAAAAATCCGACGTTCACGTAATCACTTGACCCAAAGTTACGTTTGAAATTTACGGGGCACTCCATTATTTATAAAGTAGATAATTAGTCACAATTAATAGTAAAATAATAATTTGTGTAGGTGGGCGAATAATTTCACGGCCCATCTGATATAAATGTTATGCTGCTACCGGTCCACAGACATCAATCACATCCTGAATGTCACTACTTACCATAAGACCTGAGGGCTAAATCTCAATTGTGTGGTAGTAATTAATAGATTAAGGAAGACAATAAGAAGATGATATGAAGTCTTATTTACGTTGTATGTATAATGTCCCTAGTTTTAAACCATAACAAATATTTTTTTCACGACTAAAATAGCGATAGAAGTGGTACCTATCCGTGAGGACTCACAAGAAGCCCTACTACTATCAAGATATGCAAAAATATTCAAAATTATTTACAAGAAAAGAGAGGTACGAAGAATATGAACAACCCAACTAAAGTAGTGCTAATGCGATCCTGCTTATTTTATCAAGTGACTCGTTTGAATTTACAAGATGGGACAGCCATTATTCAATGCAAATAAGACTTCATCTCATCTCTCAAGGTGTGACGTTGTGATGTCTACAGTGAACAATGAGCTCATCTGCAATACAATCTTTACCTTTTTATTTACGTTTTTATAATAAACTGTTTACATTAAACATTGAAAAACAGTTTTTATCGCTGGTATTAGTGTGTATTTTAATTTAAAAACGCAATAAATACGTATTTCTTTATTAATTTTAATTCAATTACTTCTTTTCACATAAAAATACACCTGAAATATATGAACAACCAAACTTAATTTACAATTTATAACCTATTGAAAAACATAAAAGCGTAAAATAAACCACGTATCTAGCTTAATTTACGTTGACAGCTTTCGAAAACCAAACACAATATGCGAAGCAAGCGAACCAATCACACGTTATAACACAGGATATGTCGGTCACCGCAGCTGAAGTTGCCTTCAATAAGCATCGATTCAGACGTAGAGCAGGAACAATGCTCTATCTGTCTATATGAACATCTATAAATGAAGAATTTCGAACTCTATATAATTACTCTGCTCTACATAAAAATAATTTTGCCAGATTCCAAATTGTATCTGTATAAATAATTAACTTATTTTATGCAACTACATTGAAATTTAAAATTAAAATAAATTCGAATTCTAGAATCATATTAATGCTATATACACTCGCGATGTTTCTTGACGTAGTTAATGCGACATTATAATTTAAAATGATGACAAACTCCATCTTAGTCTTGCGTGACCCCGAAAGCAGTAACGTATTTGAAGCTTGAGAATTATAAATTCGAGGAAATCGTAAAGTGATTTAAATAATACTCAATAAATGGCAGCGTAACTTATTATAATATATTATAATGATAATAATAGATTAATGAACTAAAGGTAAAATAAATCGAGAATAATATATTTATTATAATCATAATAAATATTATTTTATACATTTTAATCATAGTAAATTTATGATATTTTTTTAGGTTGCACACCGCTGAATACGCGAGGTATTGTGAACTTCCTAAAGATATCAATTAGTTAAGTAATTTTGAAATGAAAAGAATATTTTTCAAACTTACTCAACATTGTTGCCTTCTATAAACCCGTCATAATATACCTAGGTGTGTATTTTATTCCTCTAACTAATGTATATGTGAAATTATATGAGATTGCCAAATTGTTCATTCCCACTACACAACAGCTGGTCGTATAAAGGTAATGATCCACATGCAATGATTAACGTTTCGACTTTAATAGGTAGCTTGGATTGCACAACATAGCTACATACTACATAATATATTATCGCGTTTATGTGTGATACTCGTAAATGTCAAGCCGCCTCTAAGGAAAGGTGGGTGGCGCATTTACGTTGTGGATGTCTATGGGCTCCAGTAACTACTTAACACCAGGTGAGCTGTGAGCTCGTCCACCCATCTAAGCAATAAAAAAAAAAATAAAAAATTAACTTACACTACTTACGTAACATATAAAAATATATTTTGTTTTTTTTAATATTAAAAACGGATAATCAAGCTACGTAATAATATACCACTACATAATATACCAATTTAATGTATAATCATAATACTAAGTATTCTATTTGAAAATATTGATTTACTGATGAATAAGTCAAGGTTTTTTTTTTATTGCCCTTGTAGGCAGGCGAGCATACGGCCCACCTGATGGTGAGTGGTTACCGTCGCCCATGGACTTCAGCAGTGCCAGGGGCAGAGCCAAGCCGCTGCCTACCGCTTAATACTTTCCACAAGTCTCGTTTGAAGAAGGACACGTCATAGCGCTCGGGAAACACCGTGGAGGGGAGCTCATTCCATAGCCGGATGGTACGTGGCAAAAAAGATCTCTGGAAACGCACTGTGGATGAGCGCAGTGGCTCCAGGTAGTATGGATGAACTCTAATCCGGTGGCGGTCCGAAGAGGATGTATTATTTATTGCATGATTATCATCTGCCATTGCGTAAGTTGCTGTCGTAAAAGGCGACTAAGCGATTAACCCGAGAATAGACAGTACTGTCCTCTATACTGTACCTGTTATAGTGTGTGTATGGTGCGCCTGCAATCGTCTAATCGACATTTATTGATGGTGACGCATTTTACGAGCCTACACAGATGGGTAATATCATCTTGCCTAACGTTGCTACGAAGCTATCGTGCGTTCCAATTTGAAGAATAAGACAGCTGGCTCCGATAATCATTTGCTATCAGGTGCGCCGTGACTTCGTTTCTCATCAATAGTAATAACAGAGACAATGAAAATGGGAACCCAGTCTCACCCATCTACTACCTTCATCTTCTATATTTTCTGATCATCTGTCACAAGCACGAATATGCCTTATTTACCAACTTAATCGTCCCACTAGCTTAAATCATGATTTGCCAAATCCAATGGCTAACATCAAATAATTATTAGGCAGTAACCAAAAAACTCCGAGTTCAATTATCCGAGACTGGTCTTATAACTTCACCTGAGGGAATAAATAAGAAGAAAAAAAACCATCGATTTCATAATAATAGACGGTAACAAGTATTGTTAAAAAAATTAATAGCTATTTTATTTATTTATTGCCCTTGTAGGCGGACGAGCATACGGCCTACCTGATGGTGAGTGGTTATCATCGCCCATAGACTTCAGCAATTCCAGGGGCAGAGCCAAGCCGCTACCTACCCTTAAGTACACTCCACCCGCCTCGTTTGAAGTAGGACATGAACACAATTCATAAATAGAATAATATTTTCTCAACAATAAAAGCTTTAAGATACAAAAGTCTAATTTTCAACTTCATTAAGTAAATACTAATAAAAACTACAGACTTAAATCTAATGTATACACATAAATACAAACAAACATGCGAGAAGAATACAAATCAAGTCCTATTAAAGCCATCGCAACGAAATCACAAAACAACGGAACGTTTTTCTTATTCAAAAATCAAGTTAGAACGAGACGACATCACGGGATGTTCCATTGATGACGTCAACCATTAGACGCACGGGCCGAGTCGAATAAAAAACTTATACATACAGAAAAAAAGCCAAGACCTCCACACACGAGCAGCATAAAAACTAGCGATGCGTTTGATGAAGCAACTTTTGTTCACGCCTCACGCACCTGCATTCTGTGTAGCATTTGAATAACAATTGGTCCCTAAAGAGTTTTTCAACAACACCCAACATGCTTTTAAATTTTGGTCGACGTTAACGTTAACTCATTAATGAAATCAGTTGAACTCACCTTTATAGAGAAATCAGTGCGCGCGCAGGTAAAACACAGGAATCCCACAGGTGAACGGTATCAGCCGTTTGAAAACTTAAATTAAAAGCTCGAAAATCGGACGACTGTAACACTCGTGCACTCCTTGTTANTTTTTCAACAACACCCAACATGCTTTTAAATTTTGGTCGACGTTAACGTTAACTCATTAATGAAATCAGTTGAACTCACCTTTATAGAGAAATCAGTGCGCGCGCAGGTAAAACACAGGAATCCCACAGGTGAACGGTATCAGCCGTTTGAAAACTTAAATTAAAAGCTCGAAAATCGGACGACTGTAACACTCGTGCACTCCTTGTTAGCAGCGCAGCACTACACTTACAACAACACTGTCACGGTTTGTTTATCAAATTACGGGCTGCTTATTAATAATTTCAATGACCCCAAGTGCGCATGCCCGTCCAACACGCGCCCACTTTGAAAATAGGTTATGTTTAAGTTTTGAGCACTTCCACTGAAACACCGGTACACGCAGAAGCACAAACTTCCCAGAAGAATCCAGTTGGAACAACTTGAGAAAACTTTTCAAAAGCCCGCCTTTTCCTCAACTTTTGAACTTTGAGACAAACAGGTTCCCACGGGTCTCGTTTCCGTTTAATCACTTAGGAAGCACAATTTGACGATCAACCGGCTCTCCTAACGTAAATGAAGGCCGTATGCGTTTTTTAAACACTTAAAAACTCCGAAAACCGGTACGATTTGATTCCACACGTGACACAGTCAAAACGTAAACACAGTAACACACGAATTCACTCTGTTTCGATGAAGGATAACATGTTTAAAGTGGCACGAAGTTCGAGTGACAAATTAAACGAATAGAAAAAGAAAAGAAACGAAGAATACTAAAGTCGGCGACTGCGAAGCCGAGCGTCCGACACTCCTGCTGAGCGGTGTACTAAACGCGAGAGGCCGCGCGACCCGCACCGCCCCGCGCACCTCAAGCGCCGCCCCCAAGCGCCCTGCGACCCGCGCTCATCTAAATAATGTTCAAAAAAATTCAAGAGCATTGAAAAAGTAAGCCTTCGGGTGACCCTTAGCTTTCTCAACGTGTAAATTAACCCATAGACACAGCCCACTGAGTTTCTTACCGGATCTTCCCAGCGGGCTGCGTTTCCGATCCAGTGGTAGATTCTGCAAAGCACTGCTCTTGCTAGGGCCAATATTAGCAACGCTCCCGGCTTAAACCCCGTGAGCTCACTTACACGTCATGCAAAAGCTGAAATAGCCTCTCAAGCATCAGCATAGGTAGAAAAAAAATGGTAATGCAAGCTACCGAACTTGCTTGCAGAAGTTTAGTAGGTGTCGATGTCGCCCGAGAGCATGTCGTCGCGTGCACCAGCGCCGGAAAACATTCTATTAGTCTACCAACACGTGCGTAACGCACCCTCCCCGACCCGCTGAGGCTATCATTCAATTCATTGAATTCCGCGACCAATTGCACTGCCAACTTCCGATTACATTTGAACTACTTGTACAAACAATGCAGACATTGTAAACAAGTGACTCTATAAAAGGAGAGTTACAAATATTTTTTTATAATGTAGAGTCGGATATTTAGAAAAACACATGAAAAATAAAATTCTGAATTATGTCATAAGCCAGTAAGTAAGATTTGTTTTTAAATTATTAAATAAAATCTATAGAATAGTTATGCATAACTTCATTATATTTTTTTTTTTAAATATAGTCTAACTTGATATGAAAAAGAAAAACACATTTAACAAATTCAAATTTTATCCAGTTTTTTCTTCTGTGAAATTTAGAAAATCAATCTTAAATTTTAATGAAATGAATTACAAGAATGATGTTAAAAAATATAGAATTACAAAATTCAAACTAAAAAGATTAGTTTGTAGCGGCTTATCAACAATTTTCAACGCTTTTTATGATTAGTTATGCAACACAACTTGTACTATGAAAATATGATTGAAAAATGGACTAGTACATTTTTCCTAATAAAGTAAAAACAAGACAAGTTCGGAGCGAATAAAAAAAATGATAAGCTTTTGTTAGTTTTATTGATTGCTTAATTATATGAAGAAGCTCATAGCCTATCCCGTGATAAATAGTTAACGGAGTCCACCACAATACAAATGCTCCCACCCTTCTTGAAACATGGGGTTGAAGTCTCCATTGTATTGTATAATGAATATCCCAACCTACAAACGAAGAAAGAAGATCAGCTTCGCGTTAGCAATAGGCCGGATGGTGGTATCTACTCGCTCAAGTGAATAATGCGCTCTACCACGAGTAAGAGTCATTTCCCAATTTTCCATACCCCAAACACTTCCCGTGGTCACGACTGACGGTCAAAAGAAATACAAGATCAAATCATAAGTGCTTTTAATTCTGCCCACAGAAATTGCATTTTATTTGCTGGTGTCGGTAAAATCTCGATACAAGAATGAATTACGTGGACTATCTCGATCCGAACTTGTACCTTCCATGAAGTGTTGAATTTAAACGAATTTCGAGAATACTCCGTGAAAAGCATTAAAGNCCGTGGTCACGACTGACGGTCAAAAGAAATACAAGATCAAATCATAAGTGCTTTTAATTCTGCCCACAGAAATTGCATTTTATTTGCTGGTGTCGGTAAAATCTCGATACAAGAATGAATTACGTGGACTATCTCGATCCGAACTTGTACCTTCCATGAAGTGTTGAATTTAAACGAATTTCGAGAATACTCCGTGAAAGGCATTAAAGAAACGAATCGAGTATCGGTATGCGGCGCATAAGACGAATAGAAACTGACTGAAAGGTTTGTCGGGTTTATATTTGCATACAGTATGTACACTTAAGAGAAACGTGCCTCAACATTTATTTCAATTAAGCAAAAGATCTGATTCGATATGTGTTTATACAAAATAAAAAATTCACGTGTGATGTTATACCTTAATAATTTTTACGTAAAAAGTTATTTAAGGGCTAGAATTAACCATAAAGACACTTGTGTGCTCAAAAATATCGTCCTTGGTGACCTCAATAATTGAAGGTCTGAAGTTTAACTTTAATCAATAATAGAAGTACCCTCAATTACCATCTTCTCTCGAAACTCTTCCGATGTCCCATTCCTGTGATTTTTGTAGTAAAGTCCAATCCATTTTAATTCTATTATAATATATTTCTGCTGCAATGTATTCGCACGCTTCAGTCTAAAGGATATAATGACATACGTATTGACATAGATACGCCGACCTGCTGTAATTAATTAACGGTGCCGATATATAAAATCTTATGCAATGAAAAGCAAAAAAAAAGCAAAAGTACAAAAAAATAAGTAACAAAAAAAACAGAAATTAAAAACTCTACCTAGAAATTAATTACGCATAAATTGAATGACCTTAGAAGTTTCACATACCTTCGGATTTTTAGGAAGCAGCTTTTAAATGACAATTTCATAGAGAAAAATAAAGTACTTTTTTATTTTGTTGTTTTCTAAAAATTAATCTTTCAACTCATGCTGAAACGTTTCAAATCGTCAACCGCCATCTAGTTTGTTACAAAAATTAAGATGGCAATAATACAGTCTATTAATGTAAGTCACAATTAAAGTCAGATCCCAGTAACCTATCTGGTCCGTCTGGAGTTGAATAGCAAATGCTTCTCAGCAACGGAGTCCATATTTTTTGTAATATCGATCTTAGGCAGCTACCATAGACAGTGAGAACCCTACGATCTTAAGCTCGAGATATAAAGTTTGGTGGTACCTATCCACATGGACCCATAATAGATCTGATCAATATTCTTGGAATAACAGCTATAATCACTGCTTAGAACGTAACAAGTAATTAATTTTAGTAAATATTTTTACTAAAATTTTGTAACATGGTAAATGTAAAATGTAAAATGTTTGTAAAATGGTTACATGGTAAAACAGTCTGTGTAGGCTTACAACTGGACCGACAACCTCTCGAAGACAACCAGAGAAGGGTTAGATAAGATACAAACAGGGTATTGTTACGTAAAGCCTGTTCAAGGAAAGCTATGATTGAGTATTTCCATATACATATAATAAAAAAGCAGTACAATTTTAATTAAAAAAAAAACATTCCAAATTCAAAAACTGAAACATACAGCCAGAGCCTTATTTTTTAACAAAGGAACTAAACTGAATAGTGTCATTATGGACTAGACCAAGGAGGCGATAAAAATGGTTTTACGACATGAACTAGTACTGAAATGAACCTACCTGTGTTTAGATCCTGAACAGATATGAAAAATTGTCACGTGATAAAACAGAATGAGCACGTTTACGGACTGATGATACTCGTTAACGTATTTTACTGGTACCACACTACTAATTAACATCGTTTCGTAATTAACGTTTTTTTTTTTGGGTCGTAACCTACTTATTCAGCTCTTTGTTTAAGTCTTGATAGACGATTTTTGGTTGAGAATAATGGACATGACATTTTTTTTAATACACGTATTTGTAGCTCATTTTTCTGTATTTGTAAAATTTATATAACTAAATAATATTAATATAATAACAATAGCTAGTTTACACGATGTGAGGCGTCAGTGTATTCATCTAGGCAATAAAAAAATCTTAATATAGGTTTGTGAGAACTGCCCGAGGGACCTGGGCGGGCCCCCCGGCGCGCACTCTGCGTGGCCGGGGGCTCCGTCTGTGGGGGAGTTTTGCTGGACTTCCACCGGGCGCGTCCGTAGGTGGCGGATAACGGGATCCTCTGGGAACAGTCCCACTCCCAGGGGTATCGTCCGGTCTTTTTCGTTGCAAGGATTTCTAGGTGTTAGGTAGGTAGGCTAGGTGTAGGAGNAAAAAAAAAAAAAAAAGGTTTGTGAGAACTGAAGGAGGAACTTATACATTTTTTTATTAAAAAGCCGCAAATTCAACTGCGTCTTTACGCCTGTTATACAACTGACAGGCAATAGGCGGGATGGTAGAACCCATGCGGGAATACCATACATATGAACACTAAATGTGATGGTTGCAGTGTTCTAGTATAATAATAAGAGAACGGTACTATCTAGTGAAACCATTGATCGCCTTTTAAGACATCCACGAAAAGAGATGTGGCGGTGCTATTCTAGATCGACACCACACTCT